CTCAACATAAAATAAACTTTGTCAGCTTCAGAGAGGCCTGATTTGTTTTTTAAAATTGGTTCTAAAAGTTGGATACGAGGGGCAGTATACTTGGGACACCCTAATAGGATATGGGAAATTGAATCGATACAGTTTTGTTTGCATGAACAAAGCCTATCTGCGTGGGGGGTCCTTAAAAATCTGCCCGTCAGGACTGCAGATGGCATCACATTAAACCGGGCCAATGAGAACGCCCTCCGGTGCTGGGGGTTACTTAGTGCAGAAAGATATGAAGCTATATGTCCAAATTTGCAAGGGTAGTTTGGGTAGCATATAGGTTAAATAAAAAAATAAAATAAAAAAATATTCCTTTTTAAAGCAAGCAGACCATTTGCATTCAGAGATTTCCCAAATATAAGAGGCTTCATTAGGACTAAAGAAACATGCACCGGTGTATTGAAGAAACCTATGAAGTCTCTCTGTTCAGCTTCAACTCTAGTCTGCTCTTTTGCTTTGTCACACTGTCTGTTGTATCATCTGAGACTCTCCAGTTTAATTTGGTTTTCCCAGAAAAAAAAGGAAGAGAATCATCCTAAGGACCAAGGCTTATCTGTTTTGGTGTGTTTTGAAAAAAATAACCCTAGGAGGAGAACAAAGTTCTACAATAATGGGCCCCTGAAACCTTCCTTGTCTATTCTGCTGCTGGTAGACAAATAAACAGACACTGATTTTCTATGTCACAATTTCCACGCCAGTTCACTAATTGTCAGGAATGACTGGAAGATTTCAAAAATTGCTAGCTACTTGGAAGAAAACAGAATTATGGCTCACAAACTGGAGAAGGCACTCACAATTGAAAATTCCACCCACTTCCTATTCTGGATGTTTTTAGGAAAGGTGTGTAAATAAATATTTCATGTAGGCATTGAATCTGTCCCAGCTTCAAGTTCTATTCTGTCTCCGTATGCCATGGATTTTACTGGGTTTTAGCTAAGTTTTCATGTCATGTGATTACCAGGACTTTAACGTTCCATGAGTTCTAATTGTTTTTACTATAGGAACAATCCTTGATAGCTCCCATGAGCACTACAGTACAGTACTTTGTAGTGGGAAGGCAAGGTAGTGATGGAAGAAGGAAAATTAAGGAGAAGGATGAAACTTGGGCTATTGGTGACAGAGAAATACTAACTAGAGGAAGAATCCAATTTGTACATCTCCTTTTCACTCCACAATTACAAAGGGTGGGTGTAAACTCGAAGAAGCATTTGTTTACAGACAGGAAGAGGTACCAAGACTTATAACTACTAAGGAAGTGGTGTAAACCAAATGGACCATCAAATGTAACACAGATTTAGAGCAGAGAAAGGGAACTGAGAGAAGCAGGTTGTCTATTTTGTGGTGGAGAAATAAAAAAGCAAATGTTTTTCTCCCTTGAAAGACCAGATCAGTTTACGAATACTTACAGGAACACCATCAACCTAAAACAGAGAAAGAAACAGAGAAACAGTGATTAGTCTTTTTGCGGAGAAAGTAGGGATTTAATTTGCATCCAGAGATTGCCCAGAGACAAGAGGCTTAGTCAGGGAAGCAGTGAAGGCTCTAAGTCCACTTCCAGCTCACCCAAATGCTAAGGCTTTCTCTTTCTACTTCGATCCAACTCCTAGCACCAACAGGCCCATGTAGTCCTCTCCAACTTTAAATTTGGCTTTTTCAGAGGAGATGAAGCTGAAACAATCTAAAGACAAGCGGCTGCTAATCCCTGTGTCAGGCACATAGATGGGGAGGAGGGGGAGAAACTGAAACTAATAAGCTAAAAAGACTTTCTCCTCTCCTCTGTCCTTCATAAGAAAACAAGCAAATATTTTCTAAACACCAGTATCACTTGACTTGTTGTCAGTACTCACCATATGTACTACACCACCCTACGAAAAAAGAAGAAAAGGAGCATTGATTATTTCTTTTTTTAAAGCAAGCAGGCCATTTGCATTCAAAGATTTCCCAAATATAAGAGGTTTCATTAGGACTAAAGAAACATGCACCGTTGTATTGAAGAAACCTAAGCCGTCTCGCTATCCAGATTTAGCTCTTGCCTGCTCTTTTGCTAAGGGTTTTTTCTATTATGTGATAAAGAAGCCAAAAAGCAAACATTTTCCTCTCTTGTACGCTCTACATAAGTAATCATCAGTACTCACTGGAAGACTGCTGGTAAAACCACTGTGGTGTCCACCCTCGTGGCCCTTGCTTGACCTTCAAGCCCCCAGAGCACACAAAGACAGACACTGTCTCCTTTTATACCTGCTGCCACCAGGCGATCTCTAAATCACCATTTACTTCTGAAAGACTCAGGTCCACACTTCAAGTCCTTTTAAAGAAAACTATTGAATACAGAGATTAATTCGTGTATATCTCCAGTATTTAATCATTCCTCAGAATTTCCCGAAACTCTACACACTGACTTGAACTCTATTAATCTCACACTCTGACCCTGACTTAATCTACTCATACTCTGACCCCAATATTCTCTCAGACTCCGCCTCTTATCGCCTCTGTTTTGGCTCCGCCTCTCTTCAACATTGATATTCGTAAACCATTATATTACATAACATAGACCATGGATCAAATAAATAGAGAATGCTACAACCACCACAGACCTGAAATAGGGAAAGAAGCAGTGGTTCACTTTTTGCAGGGAATGCAGGGAATTAATTTGCATTTAGAGATTGCCCATAGACAAGACCCTTAGTCAGTGAAGCTGTGAAGGCTCTTAGTCTACTTCCACCTCATCCCAAAGACCAGGCTTGCTCTTTCCACTTTGATTAAACTCTTAGCACCAGCGGGCCCATCTGGGACCCTCCAACTTTTAACTTGAATTTTTGAAGAAGAGATGAAGCAGAATTAGTCTAAAGACAAATGGTTGCTCATTTCCATATCTCATATTCAGCTAAACAAACTTCCTCCTCTCCTCTCTGTCGATAATAAAACAAGCAGATGTTTTCTAAACACAAAGATCATGAGGCTTCATTAAGATGAAAGAAATATGCAGCTGTGTATGAAGGAGAGTAGGAAAGTCTTTGTCTAGTTTTAGCTCTTGCTTTGTAATTCCCTTTTGTATCTGAGGTTCTCCAATTGAATTTGCCTTTCCAGAGAAAATAAAACAGAATCACTCTGAAGACCACTGCATTTCGCTATAGGGGTCTTCTGCACCAAAACCTAAAGGTGATCAGTTATCATCAAAAGCTCGCTGTTGTTCTTTTTTTAAAATCTGGTTTGTGGTCCACTGAAGGCATCACCTCTTCCTGCATTTGCATTCCATAAAAATAGGAGAAATAGCAGGCCCATCTGGGACCCTCCAACTTTTAACTTGAATTTTTAAAGAAGAGATTAACCAGAATGAGTCTAAAGGCAAGTAAGAGAGCTAATCTCTGTGTAATGCACATAGAGGGGGAAGAAAGCGAGAGACACAAAAAAAATTCATCTCAGCAGACTTGATCCTCTCCTCTGTTGTTGATAATAAAAGAAGCAAATATTTTCTAAACACAAACATCACTTCACTTGTTGCCAGTACTCACCGAAGATGTCATACCGCCAAGCTAAAAGGAAAACAAAGGAGCAGTGATTAATCCTTTTTGTGCAGCAAGCAGGTAATTGATTTTCATTGAAAGATTTCCCCCAGATAAGGGGCTTCATCAGGATGAAAGAATTATTTATTTATTTATTTATTTATTTATTTAATTTATACCCCGCCTATCTGGTCGGTGAGGACCACTCTAGGCGGCTAACAACAATAAAATACAATAAGAGTATAAATAAACAATTCTAATTAGTAAAAACACTACAATACATTACATAGAGTGCAAAACAGAAACAGTAAAGAGGGAAGAAGGAGGTCAAGAGGAATATGATGGAAAGGCCTGCCCAAACATCCATGTCTTCAATTGTTTCTTAAAGATACCCAGCTAGGGAGACCCGCGAATCTCAGGAGGGAGATTGTTCCAGAGGCGAGGAGCCACCGCCGAGAAGGCCCGATTTCTTGTCTTCTCCTTCCGGGCCTCTCTCGGCGTTAGGCTCCTCAACCTCACCATCACTTCACTTGTTGCCAGTACTCACCGAAGATGTCATACCGCCAAGCTAAAAGGAAAACAAAGGAGCAGTGATTAATCCTTTTTGTGCAGCAAGCAGGTAATTGATTTGCATTGAAAGATTTCCCCCAAATAAGAGGCTTCATCAGAAAGAAAGAATTATGCACCACTTTATCGAGGTAACCTATGACGTCTTTCTGTGCAGTTTTAGCTCCTGCTTCCTCTTTTGCTTTGGTTTCAATTATATCACCTTCTGTCTCCTCTATGGGTTTCCGATTTAATTAAGTTTTCCAAATTAAACAATGGAAGATAGGTAGTTTGAAAACGGAGGCAAATAATTATACATTTATTCTGCAAAATCTAGGTGATGAAGACTCTTCTACACAGGCAGACAAAAATAAGACACTGTTTTTCTACATTATGATTTTCACCCCAGTTCACTAATTGACAGCAATGATTAGAAGTTCATGCAGCAATTTGCTAGGCACTTGGAAGAAAAAAGGAGTATAGGGCTGGTACTGGAGAAGATGCTCAAAATTTTTTAAAAAATCCACCCGCTTTCCATTCTCAATGCTTTTAGGAAAGGTCTGTAAACACATTTTTTATATAGGCGCAGAACCTGTCCCATCTGCAATGTTTTTTCTCTTTCCATAATTCATGGATTACACTGAGTATTTGGGTAGTTTTCATTTCATGTTATATCCAGAATTTTAGAGTTCCATAGTTTCTATTTCTTTTTATGGTAGAAACAATCCTTCTCAGCTCCCTTGAGCACTACTTCATACTGGGAAGACAGAGTATTAATTTAAGATGGAAGATTAAGGGGAAGGATAAAACTTGGGATATCAATGACACGGAAATATTAAGTAGAGGAAAAAATCTATTTTTATGGCTTATATACACCCCATGGTTACAGAGGTTGGATCTAAACCAGAAGAAGTATTAGTTTACAGTCAGGAAAAATGACCAGAGCAGACAACTGCTATGGAAGTGGTGTAAACCAAATGCACCATCAAATGCAACACAATCTACAGAACAGGTAGAGAAAAGGGATAGAGAGAAAGGAGGTTGCTTATTCTGTGGTGAGGTCAGAATGCAAATGTTTTTCTCCCTTGTAAGGTCCAAATCAGTTTATGAATACTTACTGGAAGACCGCCGGCAACACCACCAACCTGAAACAGAGAAAGAAGGAGTGATTCAAACTTTGCAAGGAAACCAGGGAATTAATATGTATTCACAGGTTACTCAGAGAGAAGATGTTTAGTCAGTGAAGCAGTAAAGGCTCTCAGTCTACTTCGAGCTCATCCCAAAGATCAGGTTTGCTCTATCTACTTTGATTAAACTTATGGAACCAGCAGGCCCATCTAGGACTCTCCAATTTTTAACTTGATTTTTTTCAGAGGAGATGAAGCAGAATTATCTAAAGACAAATGACCGCTCATTTCAATGTCCTATCCAAAGATGGGGAAGAGAGAGAGAGTCTAAAAATATTCAGCTAAAGAATATTTAGACTTCCTCCTCTCCTGCAATGTTGATAATAACACAAGCAAATGTTTTCTAAACACAAATATCACTTCACTCATTGTTAGTACTCACCGTGTCTAATACAACTCCAACCTTCAAAAAAAAAAGGGGGGGGGGAAGAGCAAAGATTAATCATTTTTTTTAGAGCAAGCAGACAATTTACATTGAGATTTCCCAAATATGAGAGGCTTGATCGGGTTAAAAATGCACAGCTGTATTAAGGAAACCAATGAAGTACTGGATCTCTGTCCAGCTTTAGCTCTTGCTTGCTCTTTTCCTTTAGTCAATAATCATATTGTTATATAAACCTCTATAATTCAATTTGGTTTTCCCAGAAAAAAATTGGAAGAGAGGTTGTTTGAAGACCAAATCAAATAATAATTTGTGTATTCTGCAAAAAACTAGGAGACAAAGACAGTTCTACAACAATGAGCCCCCACATCTTTTTTGTCTATTCAGTTGCAGGCAGACAAAAAGAACTGATTTTCTACATCATGATTTCCACTCCATTTTATTGCCAGCAATGTGTGTGAGATCAGGTAGCAAATCGCTAGCCATTTGGAAGCAAAAAGAAATATAGAGCTGGAACTGGAGGAGACAGTCAAAATTAAAAATTCCACTGAGTTTCTATTTTTACTGCTTTTAGGAAAGGCCTGTAAAAACATATTTTATGTAGGCTTAGCATGCGTCTCAGCTGCAAGGTTTTTCTCTTTCTATATTCCATGCATTTTAGTGGCTCTTACAATAGGTATTGTATCATGTGATTTCCAGAATTTTATGGTTCAGTGAGTTCTAATCGTTCTTACTGTAAGAACAATTCTTCTCAGGTCTCTTGAGCACTACTTCATACTGGGAAGACAGAGTATTAATATAAGATGGAAGCTTAAGGGGAAGGATAAAACTTGGGATATCAGTGACATGAAAATATTAAGTAGAGGAAGATTTCTATTTTTATGGCTTATATACACGCCATGGTTACAGAGATTGGATCTAAACCAGAAGAAGTATTAGTTTACAGTCAGGAAGAATGACCAGAGCAGATAACTGCTATGGAAGTGGTGTAAACCAAATGCACCATCAAATGCAACACAGATCTAAAGCTCAGGTAGAGAAAAGGGATAGAGAGGTTGCTTATTCTGCGGTGGAGAAGTCAAAATGCAAAAAGTATTCTCCCTTGTAAGCTCCAAATCAGTCGAACGTTATCAGTACTCACTGGAAGACCTTCGGTAACACCACCAAGACTGCCAGTGAGACCACCAACCTGAAACAGAGAAAGAAGGAGTGATTCAAACTTTGCAAGGAAACCAGGGAATTAATATGTATTCACAGGTTAATCAGAGAGAAGATGTTTAGTCAGTGAAGCAGTAAAGGCTCTCAGTCTACTTTTTGCTCATCCCAGAGTTAAGGCTTGCTCTTTCTACTTTGATTAAACTCATGGAACCAGCAGGCCCATCTAGGACTCTCCAACTTTTAACCTGACTTTCTCACAGGAGATGAAGCAGAATCAGTATAAAGACAAATGGCTGCTCATTTCTGTGTCCTGCACGTAGATGGGGAAGAGAGGGAGAGACTAAAAATATTCAGCGAAACAGATTTCCTTCTCTCCTCCAATGGTGATAATAACACAAGCAAATGTTTTCTAAACACAGACACCACTTCACTAGTTGTCAGTACTCACCGTGCCTAGTACAGTGTCAGCCTTCGAAAAAAGGGGGGAAAGAGGCATAGATTGATCCTTTTTTTAGAGTAAGCAGACAATTTAGGGGAAAGAGGCATAGATTGATCCTTTTTTAAGAGTAAACAGACAATTTACATTCAGAGACTTCCCAAATATAAGAGGCTTCATCAAAACAAAAAAACAAAATGCACAGCTATATTGAGGAAACCAATGGAGTCTCTCTGTCCAGCTTGCTCCTTTGCTTTGGTTAAAAAACATATTGTTGTATAAACCTCTATAATTTAATTTGGTTTTCTCAGAAAAAATGCAATATAGTTAGTTTGAAGACCAATTATTTGTGTATTCTGCAAAAAACTAGGAGACAAAGACAGTTCTACAACAATGAGCCCCCACATCTTTTTTGTCTATTCAGTTGCAGGCAGACAAAAAGAAGACACTGTTTTTCTACATCATGATTTCTACTCCAGTTCATTGTCAGCAATGTTTGTGAGATCACATAGCAAATCGCTAGCCACTTGGAAGAAAAAAGAAATATAGAGCTGCAACTGAAGTATACACTCAAAATTAAAAATTCCACCAAGTTTCCATTTTCACTGCTTTTAGGAAAGGAGTGTAAAAACATATTTTATGTAGGCAGAACACGTGTCCCTGCTGCAAGATTTTTTTTTCTATATTCCATGCATTTTAGTGGCTCTTACAATAGGTATTGTATCATGTGATTTCCAGGATTTTATGGTTCCGTGAGTTCTAATTGTTCTTACAGTATGAACAATCCTTCTTAGCTCTCTAGAGCACTACTTTATAATGGGAAGTCAGAGTATAAATGTAAGAAGGAAGATTAAAGAGAAAGAGAAGGATAAACATGGGATATTGCTGACAGGGAAATGTTAACTAGAGTAAGATTTCAGTTTGTACCGCTTATATACACACCCTGGTTACAAAGGTTGGATCTGAACCGAAAGAAGAATTAGTTTAGAATCAGGAAGAAGGACTAGAGCTTATAAATCCTATAGAAGTGGTGGAGAACAAACGGACCCTCAGCTGCAACACGGATCTACAACACAGATAGAGAGAAGGGGAGGTTGCCTATTCTGTGGTAGAGCAGTCAAAAAGCAAACATTTTTCTCCCTTGTAAGCTTCACAGCAGTTGAGCAATTATCAATACTGACTGGAAGAACATTGGTTAGACCACCAACCTAAAACAGAGAAAGAAGAAGTGATTCTCTTTTTTCAGGGAAAGCAGGGAATTAATTTACACTTCGAGATTGCCCAAAGAGAATATGTTTAGTCAGGGAATCAGGGAAGGGTCTCAGTCCACTTCCACCTCATCCCAAAGATCCGGCTTGCTCTTTCTACTTTGATTAAACTCATAGCACCAGCAGGCCCATTTGGGACCCTCCAAATTTTAACTTGAATTGTGTAAGAAGAGATGAACCAGAATCAGTCTAAAGAAAAGTAAGTGGCTGCTAATCTCTGTGTAATGCACATAGAGGGGGAACAGAGGGAGAGGCACAAAAAATATTCAGCTAAGCAGACTTCCTCCTCTCCTCTGTTGTTGATAATAAAAGAAGCAAATATTTTATAAACACAAACATCACTTCACTTTTTGTCAGTACTCACAGTAGATGTCAAACCGCCAAGCTAAAAGGAAAACAAAGGAGCAGTGATTAATCCTTTTTTGTGCAGCAAGCAGGTAATTGATTTTCATTGAAAGATTTCCCCCAAATAAGAGGCTTCATCAGAATGATTGAATTATGCACCACTTTATCGAGGAAACCTATGACATCTTCCTGTGCAGTTTTAGCTCCTGCTTCTTCTTTTGCTTTGGTTTAAATCATATCGTCTTCTGACTCCTCTATGGGTTTCCAATTTAATTCAGTTTTCCAAATTAAACAATGGAAGATAGGTAGTTTGAAGACGGAGGCAAATAATTATACATTTATTCTGCAAAAAACTAGGTGACGAAGACTATTCTACACAGGCAGACAAAAAGAAGACTTTTTTTTGTATATTATGATTTTCACGCCAGTTTACTAATTGTCAGTAATGATTAGAAGTTCATGTAGCAATTTTCTAGGCACTTGGAAGGAAAAAGGAGTATAGGGCTGGTACTGGAGAAGATGCTCAAAATTAAAAAATTCACCCACTTTCCATTCTCAATGCTTTTAGGAAAGGTCTGTAAACAAATCTTTTATATAGGCATAGAACCTGTCCCAGCTGCAATGTTTTTTCTGTTTCCATAATTCATGGATTACACGGTAGTTTTCATTTCATGTTATATCCAGAATTTTAGAGTTCCATAGTTTCTATTTCTTTTTATGGTAGAAACAATCCTTCTCAGCTCCCTTGAGCACTACTTCATACTGGGAAGACAGAGTATTAATATAAGATGGAAGCTTAAGGGGAAGGATAAAACTTGGGATATCAGTGACATGAAAATATTAAGTAGAGGAAGATTTCTATTTTTATGGCTTATATACACGCCATGGTTACAGAGATTGGATCTAAACCAGAAGAAGTATTAGTTTACAGTCAAGAAGAATGACCAGAGCAGATAACTCTATGGAAGTGGTGTAAACCAAATGCACCATCAAATGCAACACAGATTTATGGCATAGGCAGAGAAAAGGGAGAGAGAGGTTGCTTATTCTGTGGTGGAAAAGTCAAAATGCAAACGATTTTCTCCCTTGTAAGCTCCAAATCAGTTTATGAATACTTACTGGAAGACCGCCGGCAACACCACCAACCTGAAACAGAGAAAGAAGGAGTGATTCAAACTTTGCAAGGAAACCAGGGAATTAATATGTATTCACAGGTTACCGAAAGAGAAGATGTTTAGTCAGTGAAGCAGTGAAGGCTCTCAGTCTACTTTGAGCTCATCCCAAAGATCAGGCTTGCTCTTTTTACTTTGATTAAACTCATAGAACCAGCAATCCCGTCTAGGACTCTCCAACTTTTTATTTGACTTTCTCACAGGAGATGAAGCAGAATCAGTGTAAAGACAGATGGCTGCTCATTTCAGTGTGCTGCATGTAGGTGGGGAACAGAAGGTGAGACTAAAAATATTCAGCTAAACAGACTCTTTCCCCTCCTTTGTTGTTGATAATAACACAAGCAAATGTTTTCTAAATACAAACATCACTTCACTTGTCAGTACTCACCAGAGATGCCGCAGTATCAAGCCCCTAAAAGAGGGGAGGGGAAAGGAAGAGTGATTAATCAGTTTTCTGCAGCAACCAGGTAATTGATCTGCACTGAAAGATTTCACCAAAATAAGACGCTTTAGCTCGTGCTTGCTCTTTTGCTTTGGTTTAAATCAAATTATCTGCTCTCTTACATAGAGCTTTCCAATTTAATTTGATTTTTCCCACAAAAAATGGAAGACAGGAAGTCTGAAGACCGAGACAAATCATTATTCATGTATTCTTCAAAAAACTAATAGACAAAGACAGTTCTACAGTAATGAGCCCCCATACCTTCCTTGTCTATTTTGTTGTAGGTAGAACAAGAGAAGATACTGTTTTTTCTACATCATTTTTATCACCCCGATTCACTAATTGCTAGCCATTTGAGGGGAAAAAAGGAGTATGGCTCTGAAACTGGAGCAGGCACCCAAAATTGAAAATTCCAACCAGTTTCCATTTTCACTGCTTTTTAGAAAATGCATGTAAAAACATATTTTATGTAGGCATAGAACATTTCCCATCTACAATGTTTTTCTGTTTCCATATTTCCTGGATTTTACTGGGTCCAAGGTTAGGTTCTGTTTCATGTGATTTCCAGGATTTTACAGTTTCCTGGTTTCTACTCGTTCTCACTGTGACTGAACAATCCTTGTTTGCTCCCTTGAGCACTACTTTATAGTGGGAGGGAAGAATATTGATATTAGAGGTTAGATTAATTCTCTTTTCATAGAGAAAGCATGGAAATAATTCACATTTAGAGATTGCCAAAAGAGAAGAGGCCTAGTCAGGGAACCAGTGAAGGGTCTCAGTCCACTTCCAGCTCATTCCAAAGATCAGGTTTGCTCTTTCTACTTTGATTAAAATCATAGCACCGGCGGGCCCATCTGGGACCCTCCAGATTTTAACTTGAATTTTTAAAGAAGACATGAAGCAGAATTAGTCTAAAGACAAATAGACTGTCACTTCAGTGTCCTGCACATGGGTGGGGAAGAGAGGTTGAGGCCAAAATGATTCAGCTAAACAGACTTCCTCCTCTCCTCTGTTGTTGATAAAAAAACCCCAAGCAAATGTTTTCTAACCACCAATATCACTTCACTCGTTGTCAGTACTCACCGTGCCTACCAAACCAGTAGCCTATGAAAAAGGAACAAGGGAGCAGGGATTATTTCTTTTTCCATGGCAAGAAGACTATTTATTTATTTTATTTATTTACAATATTTTATTAGCCACACCATTACCAATGGCCTCTGAGCAGCGTACAACAATATTAAAACTTTAAAAACATTAAAAACATTAAAAATAGGCAATATTATAATAATACTCTATACAGTGGTGCCCTGCATGACAACGATAATCCATTCCAGGAAAATCGCTGTACATCAAAATCGTTGATTTCCCCAAAATAAGAGGTTTCATCAGGACTAAAGAAGGTGTATCGGGAAAACCTATGAAGTCTCTCTGACCAGCTTCAGCTCTTGCTTGCTTTTTTTTACTCTGGGGAAATCATACTGTGTGCTGCCTCCTCTGGAGCTCTCCAATTCATTTGGAGTAAATTTGGAAATTGGAAAAATGTTATAGAGTCAGTTTGAAAACCAGAGGCATGTACGTATTGGTGTATTCTGCAAAAAAAAAAGTAGGAGAAAAAGACAGTTCCACAGCAATGAGCCCCCCCTCCCATATTACTTTATCTATTCTGTTGTTGGTAGACAAACAAAAAGACACTGTTTTTCTACATCATGATATCCATGGTAGTTCACTAATTATTAGAAATGTTTGGAAGATCACGTAGTAAATTGCTAGCCACTTGGGGAAAAAAGGAGTATGGCTCTGAAACTGGAGAAGGCACTCAAATTTGAAAATTCCATCCAGTTCCCATTCTCACTACTTTTAGGAAAGGTGTATAAATAAATCTTTTATGTAAACATCAAACCTGTCCCAGCTGCAAGTTTGTTTCTGTCTACGTATTCCCTAGATTTCACGGGATCTTAGGGTGGATTTTGTTTCATGTGATTTCCAGGATTTTACAGTTCCATCTGTTCTACTTCTTTTTACTGTACAAACAATCCTTCCCAGCTCCTTTAAGCATTACTTTATAGTGGGAAGACAAAGTATTAACGTTAGAAGGAAGATTAAGGAGAAAGAGAAGGATAGAACTTGGGATATCAGTGACAGGGAAGTAAGTAGAAGAAGATTTTTATTAGTATGGCTGATTTACACACCATAGTTACAGAAGTTGGATCTAAACCAGAAGAAGTCTTAGTTTACAGTCAGGAAGAATGACCAGAGCAGATAACGCTATGAGAGTGGTGTAAAACAAATGGACCATCAATTGCAACACAGATCTACAGCACAGGTGGAGAAAGGGAACAGAGCGAAGGGGAGGTTCCCTATTCTGTGGTGAAGTAAAAAAGCAATTTTTTTTCCTCTCTTGCAAGTTCCACATCAGTTGAGTAGTTTTCAATACTGACTGGAAGAAGATTGGTTAGACCACCAAACGTAAAAGAAACAGTGATTCTTTTTTTTTTCAGGGAAAGCAGGAGATAATTTGCATTTACAGATTGCCCAGAGAAAATGATACATCATCGGTGAAGCAGTGAAGGCTGTCTGTCCACTTCCAGCTCATCCCAAAGATAAGGCTTCCTCTTTCTACACTGATCAAACTCATAGAACCAGCAGGAACATCTAAGACTCTTATTAACTTGACACTATTAACTTGAATTTTTCAGAGGAGATGAAGCACATTCTGTCTAAGAAAAATGGCTGCTAATCCCTGGGTACTGTACATAGAGAGGGAAGAGAGGGAGAGGCCAAAAATATTCAGCTAAACAGACTTTTTCCTCTCCTTTGTTGTTGATAATACAACTAGCAAATGTTTTCTAAACACAAACATCACTTCACTTGTTGTCAGTACTCACCAGAGATGCCGCAGTATCAAGCCCCTAAAAGTGATTGGGGGGGAAGGAGCAGTGATTATTCATTTTTCGGCAGCAACCAGGTAATTGCTTTGCATTGAAAGATTTCCCCAAAATAAGAGGCTTTAGCTCTTGCTTGCTCTTTTACTTTGGTTTAAATCAAATTATCTGATGTCTTATCTAGAGCTTTCCTATTTAATATGATTTTCCCAGAAAAAAATGGAAGATAGGAAGTCTGAAGACCGAGACAAATCATTATTCATGTATTCTTCAAAAAACTAATAGACAAAGACAGTTCTACAGTAATGAGCCCCCATACCTTCCTTGTCTATTTTGTTGTAGGTAGAACAAGAGAAGATACTGTTTTTTCTACATCATTTTTATCACCCCGATTCACTAATTGTCAGGAATGATAGGAAGTTCATGTAGCAAATTGCTAGCCATTTGAGGGAAAAAAAGGAGTATGGCTCTGAAACTGGAGCAGGCACCCAAAATTGAAAATTCCAACCAGTTTCCATTTTCACTGCTTTTTAGAAAATGCATGTAAAAACATATTTTATGTAGGCATAGAGCATGTCCCAACTACAATGTTTTTCTGTTAGACAAATAGACTGTCACTTCAGTGTCCTGCACATGGATGGGGAACAGAGGTTGAGGCCAAAATGATTCAGCTAAACAGACTTCCTCCTCTCCTCTGTTGTTGATAAAAAAACCCCAAGCAAATGTTTTCTAACCACCAATATCACTTCACTCGTTGTCAGTACTCACCGTGCCTACCAAACCAGTAGCCTATGAAAAAGGAACAAGGGAGCAGGAATTATTTCTTTTTCCATGGCAGGAAGAATATTTGTTTTATTTATTTGCAATATTGTATTAGCCGCACCATTACCAATGGCCTCTGAGCGGCGTACAACACTATTAAAAATTTAAAAACATTAAAAACATTTAAAATAGCCAATATTATAATAATACCCTATACAGTGGTGCCCTGCATGACAACGATAATCCATTCCAGGAAAATCGCTGTACATCAAAATCGTTGATTTCCCCAAAATAAGAGGTTTCATCAGGACTAAAGAAGGTGTATCGGGAAAACCTATGAAGTCTCTCTGACCAGCTTCAGCTCTTGCTTGCTTTTTTTTACTCTGGGGAAATCATATTGTGCTGCCTCCTCTGGAGCTCTCCAATTCATTTGGAGTAAATTTGGAAATTGGAAAAAAATGTTATAGAGTCAGTTTGAAAACCAGAGGCATGTACGTATTGGTGTATTCTGCAAAAAAAAAAGTAGGAGAAAAAGACAGTTCCACAGCAATGAGCCCCCCCTCCCATATTACTTTATCTATTCTGTTGTTGGTAGACAAACAAAAAGAAACTCTTTTTCTACATCGTGATTTCCACGGTAGTTCATCGGTGAAGCAGTGAAGGCTGTCTGTCCACTTCCAGCTCATCCCAAAGATAAGGCTTGCTCTTTCTACATTGATTAAACTCGTAGAACCAGCAGGAACATCTAATACTCTTATTAACTTGACACTATCAACTTCAATTTTTCAGAGGAGATGAAGCAGATTCAGTCTAAGACAAATGGCTGCTAATCCCTGGGTACTGTACATAGAGGGGGAAGAGAGGGAGAGACAAAAAATATTCAGAGAAACAGACTTCTTCCTCTCCTCTGTTCTTCATAAGAAAACCAGCAAATGTTTTCTAAACACAAACATCACTTCACTTATTGTCAGTACTCACTGTGTCTAATAAACCGCCAGCCTACAAAAAAGAAAAAATGAGCAGTGATTAATCCGTTTTGTAGGGGAAACACTGGAAGTACTCACTGGAAGACCACCGTTAACACTACTGACCTGAAACAGAGAAAGAAGCAGTAATTCTCTTTTTGCAGGGAAAGCAGGGATTTAATGTGCATTTAGAGATTGCCCAGAGAGAAGAGGCTTAGTCAGGGAAGCAGTGAAGGCTCTTAGTCCACTTCCACCTCATCCCAAAGATCAGGCTTGTTCTTTCTACTTTGATTAAACTCATAGCACCAGCAGGCCCATCTGGGGCCCTCCAACGTTTAACTTGAATTTTTTAAGAAGAGATGAACCAGAATCAGTCTAAAGTGGCTGCTAATCTCTGTGTAATGCACATAGAGGGGGAAGAGAGTGAGAGACACAAAAATATTCAGCTCAGCAGACTTCCTCCTCTCCTCTGTTGTTGATAATAAAAGAAGCAAATATTTTATAAACACAAACATCACTTCACTTGTTGCCAGTACTCGCAGTAGATGTCAAACCGCCAAGCTAAAAGGAAAACAAAGGAGCAGGGATTAATCCTTTTTTGTGCAGCAAGCAGGTAATTGATTTGCATTGAAAGATTTCCCCCAAATAAGAGGCTTCATCAGGATGAAAGAATTATGCACCACTTTATTGAGGAAACCTATGACCTCTTTATCAAGGAAACCTATGACGTCTTCCTGTGCAGTTTTAGCTCTTGCTTCTTCTTTTGCTTTGGTTTAAATCATATCATCTTCTGTCTCCTCTATGGGTTTCTAATTTAATTTAGTTTTCCAAGAAAAAATGGACGACAAGTAGTTTGAAGACTGTGGCAAATAATTTTACATTTATTCTGCAAAAAACTAGGTGATGAAGACTCTTCTACAGCAATGAGCCTCCATACCTTCCTCGTCTATTCAGTTTTAGCTAGACAAGATTAAGATACTGTTTTTCTACATCATAATTTCCATGATAGTTTACTAGCTGTCAGACATGAGTGCAGGATCACACAGCAAATTGCTAGTCACTCTAGTATGGCTCTGGAACTGGAGAAGGCACTCAAAATTAAAAATACTACTCACTTTCCATTCTCACTGCTTTTAGAAAATGCATGCAAAAACATATTTTATGTAGCCACTTTACTTTTCTCAGCTATGAGTTTTTTCCTGTTTCTATATTCCCTGGATTTGACTGGGTCTAAGGTTGGGTTTTGTTTCATTTGATTTCCAGGATTTTACAGTTACGTGGTTTCTACATATTCTTACTGTAGGAACAGTCCTTCTTAGGTGACAGAGTATAGATGTAAGAAGTTAGATTAGGGA